CCCCTCCACTCCAAAACACTAACAACGTGCATAGGTAAGTGACACACCCACTAACCCAAACATGTGGGCTCATGTAAGCAGATTTCTGGGCTTTAAAGCAAGTGAAGAAAAAAGAAGAAAACTCCTCATTGACATAAAGTGAAATGTTTTGATTTTCTTTTGCAGGAAAAATGACCGTCCCAACAACGCTATTCATCCTTCAGGCAATGCTGTCCGGTTGTTCACATACGGTGCCCGCACAGAGGATGGTCTCAGGCAAATCTTCAATGGTGAGGGACAGCCCTGCATTTTGAGTTTTGCCCCCACCACGCCTCTCTCTCTCTCTCTCCTCTCTCCCCCCTCTCTCTCTCCCCCTCTCTCTCTCTCTCTCTCTCTCTCTCTCTCTCTCTCTCCCTCTCTCCTCTGTTGTGTTTTATTATCTATTCATCCTATTTATCTATTTATGTTTTATTTCATGTCATTTGTTTCATTCTTTGTATGACTCGTTTTGAGGCTGAATATGTGCAGGCCATTCTAAACAATTTTTTTCTCAAATACGAATGGCATGATTTACCTTCATTCTTTATATAATTAAACAATTCTCTTGAAGTAGAAACACGTTTTGCGCCAGGGTGTGGGTATAAGAGTAACGTACGCTGTCCTGCGATTACTGGCAACAGGACTCGCAACTTGGTGTCACTGTGGTTTTTCTCACCTCTACATTGGTCATTGTAGGCCATAGGTTCACACCCTTTTCAACACTGTAAGGTTGTTTAAAAGACGGGCGAATTTAACGTCCATCCCCGATATGACAGCTACACCTACAACAGAGCGAAAAGACAAGTTTTGCTTTGCCCTGAGGTTCACTGAGGGAATGTAGAAAAAGAAAAACAAAAACAATCGGAATCGGGGTGTTCAGTTTAATGCTTTCAGCAAAAGACGAAGAGGTTGATTCCTACCTCATATGTATGCATCTCTTCTGTTTGATATAGCTTAAAGCTTTCCACATTACTATGACCAGCTGTTTATTCAGTAAAGTTTCTAACAGGACAAACCACAGTTGGGCCTTTCAGTACATACTAACATAGTTGTCTCTTGCCTCTCCTCCTTTGTGCAGAGGTGCAGAAACATGCAGACAATGTCCACTATCAAGCTTTGCTCCAGTCCTCGGCCAATGAGCCAGTTCAGAAGATGCTGTATAGAGGATTTACTCTCCTGAACGCCCCTGAAAATGTCACAGAGATTAAGGTAATTTGGTGGTGACATAATGTCATGGGTAGCTAAAGCAGCATTACAAAACTGCTGTTGGCGTGCAGATCGTATTGTGTGGAGACTTTTAAATCTTTACACATGCACTCCATTGTTATTTTTATTATCATTATTAATCTGAGTTTGCACCTCTGGCAATAAATTAGAAAGATTGTCCTTATTTTGGGGCTCCATTCTTCCTGGCTAGTGTAGACTTGTGGCGGCGTGCACTCTTCTTCTCAGGGACCAAGTAAACAATTAAATACAACTATAATATGCCCCCCCCCCCCCTCCTGAAAATTTTAAGTTTAAGATTTTCCTTTATTCACTATTATCCAAGAATTAGTTCGTTCGTGTGTGAAACATATCTCGTAATGTATCCAAATTTGCAATTGTCAAAAGTTATGACTGTACTGGTCTGGTTATCAATGAAAATTAAATGTCTTTTTGTTAGCCTTTTGGAGTAAACACAAAATTTATATCAGTCTTAAAGGCTAAAAGATTTCTTAAATGAGTAAAAACAAAACGTGTCATTGTCACTGAAAACATATATTTTATGCTGGCCTTCTTCTTTGCTTATGTGTCCATTCATTCATTAAGACACAATTATAGTACCGCACGTGTGACAGCAGTGGAATATCCAATCGTTTTGTTTCCCTTAATTTTGAAAACATGTTTTGAGAGAGAGGTGCATATTTTTTGCCCACTTGTTAAACTTCAAGAACTCAGCCTTTGTGTTTTGTGTGTAGTACAGGCACTATGACTAATAATATCATTAGTATCATTCTTCCACAATGTGCATTACGATACTTTGTGATCATTACTTTTATTGAAGCAAAG